ATTTGCCGATTTTGAGCTCCATTCAATCGACCATATCTGGCGAAGTTCAAATTATCTCGACGTAAAAGTTGCAGTCCCAAACGCACTTTTTTTAGCTCTATAGCATCGTCCGAATACAAATCAAGAGTAAGAGTGTGAATCAGGGCAAATAAAATGTCAAAGTTAGGCGCTCAAACAGGCGATCGGTGATTTGCCGAAATTTAACCTTGAATTCAGTATTGGAATTTTACGGCTTCGTTGAAACAAAAAAATTGATTTATAGAGCAATATTATATGTATGAATAAATAATATTTTACAGGTCATACTTGATTTGAAAACAGGTGATAACCTTTTTAAATTAGTACTATACCCATCATAACGTTTTGAAGGTGTCAGTTGTTGCAGGCTTTTATTATATCCAATCATATCAATTCTTGAATTCTATTGGGTAGTGCAGCTCGGCAAATCACCGATCTTTCGGCAAATCGCAGATCCGTCACGTCATAAGGTGTTTCATGCACTTTCCGCCCAGCTTGTCGTACTTTTGAAGTCGCGGAACTCGTCGCCCGTGTGTGTGATGAGGCTGCAAAAACATGCATTCTCAAGGTCGTGAGGAGCTTTATTAGTTTATGCAGGGCCCATCGTTGTATCGCTTGTCCATTTTGCTCGACGAATTTTTCAATTCTGTAATTTTCCTATGTAAATATAAATTCCGCCCAGGTGTTTGGCTTGAATAATGTATGACAGATTTGACCATCGAAATTCTCAGAACCTCTTAATAGTAATCTTTTAAAGTGTACAAGGTATTTATTTTGAAGTCATTGTTATTATGAGATTACATGAGTTGTCAAAGAATGAAAATATTAAATGCTAAGGGTACTATTTACCTGAGTACCTCATTTTATCCAATCATCACCGTTTAATGATTGTGATTGGCTACCAACTGGGCGGAAATTACATGGTGGGCGGAAATTTCATGAATCACCTTAATCATATCCAATGAAAACTCCTCATTACAGAATAAAACCATTGGATTGGATACAGTACGGTATAATGACAACCGTTCGCGATATTGCTAAACACCTCTAATCGCGTGTCCATGTGCTCGAAGACAAGTTGGGAATTTGAATCAAAATAACGACATGCTAAACACCTCTAATAATAGAGGTGTTTAGCAAGTCGTTATTTACACCTCTATAGATCGTTTTAGCAAGTCATTGTACCATAATAACCCCTTTACGAAACAAATTCACGAAACACAGTAGTTTTGTATGGTCAATGAAAGCTTATTAAAACCATCATTCGGAAGTAATACACACAATCTCAACTTGAGGACTTCAAACTTGACACTGGTGCGAGAAATTGTGCACAGATCATTTAGCTACCAGGGAAATTGAAGCACGGCACAAATGCATGGGGTTGCAGTAACTACCAGTCGTTGCTTAATAACTTATACATGCTTGAGCTAGGTGTAATGAGTGCCGACAATAACACAGGCTTGCATATGCAACATCGTCGAAAACCACTTGCAGGCTGCAAGTGCTGGCGTCATTCGGGTACTCGTGACGAAACCAAGTCTCACTCATCTCAACTTCCATTGATATTGCTAACACCTACGTACTACTGTAACTCAGTCTACCGCAACCAGCTTACTATGAATTCTTGCCTTAGAGCGTGTTCGGGGAAATTACCGAGACGAAAAACCATGATGGAACGCAATCTGATTGATACAATTTGCAGTGTGTATGGAACCAGCCCACAAAGGAATCATCTACAAATTTATTACAGCGGTAATTCATTTCCACAGGATACACATAAGAAGAGTATACTCTTGATAAAAACGATTATACAAAAGTCAATATATTTTTATTGTACAATTTCCTCGTCATCCACATACAAGGTATTGCCAATGTCACTCCCAGGGTCAAGTGTGTCCTCAATGGCACTAGTTGCCATTAATTCGACCAAGAAAACGTCGTCAACTACCCCACCAGAAACCTCTTCATCCGATGGTACACCATCTACGCTATCTACAAGACGACACTTCTTCAAACCATTGATGATCGTGACCTCAGGCAACTGCGACCAAGCATCTGCAACCCACGACACTATTGTTGCCCGCGTTGGAGGCTGCAGCTTGAAAGGTATGCCACGTTGTCTTGAGATGTGCAATTGACGACGAATCAGGCCAAGCCAGTTCTGACGTAGACGGGCTTTCAAAGGACGGTTCCATGCGACATCGGCGGGCTGGCAGATCCAAGTGTATCGAGGAGGTATGCGCTCCAACATGACATTAATACTCTGCGCATAGGCAACAATGTCGGTGAAATATGCGAAAACGTCTTCCCACAACAGCAGCACCTTCTTCGTTGCGCAGTCAGGCCGAGCCGCAAAATGTTACTTCAAAAACTCCATCGATATCTTCGCATTCCACCACGCCGTTGGATTGCCGTAGATTTGACAATCGCTTTGATCCTATATAGGGACAACGCTCTTCCACACTGCCTTCCCGAAGCCCTGCCGCTCGGTCAAGCTTTCTTGGACGATGCTATTCACCTTTGACTTTGTGCTGCGCAGCGCCAAAAACAGTGGGTACTTTTCGCCTGTCGAGTCGGTCAAGAACATGGCGGTCACACGCTCCTTCGTCTTTCCGCCCCATTTGACCCAGATCGTCTTGTCGCCGGTGGGATTCAAGGTCTTTGTTGGAAGGTACTCATAATTCACGCCCGTTTGGTCAGCGTTATAGACACAGTAGTCGATGTTGTTCTCACGCATCATGGTTTGAACGCGTTGAGCGAAGGACTCAAGCACTTCAAACCGTCTAGAGGAGTATCTTGGCCCACCGGGGTGTGCGCTCGTAGTGACAGTCCATACCGGCGTTTGAAGCTATCGACCCAGTGCAATCTAGCCAAGAACTCGTGGTCTTCAAGGACCAAGTCGATTGCAGCTTCCAACGCCATGATGCGTAACATGCTGTGCGTCACAGGCACCCCGTCCTTTCGCATATCAAGGACCCAACGCAGCAGTTGTTCTTCGTCCCGACGCGTGTGGGTTGTCCTCATTCCAAGTGTTCGCCAGCAGCGTAACTTTGCTGTTGTTGGACTCGATCCCATCCTTTGGATATAGATGCGGTTGGCCACCCAAGAGTACACCTTCTTCCTTGCTGTTTCGCCGGCGTTGGACGTCAAGTGGTCGTAGAAGGCGTCGAGCGTAGCTGGCATTCCATAGGATTCATAAAAATTTATGATCGATACTCTCTCACTGTACGCGACTACGGTGTTCTTGTGCTGCTTTGGCTTTTTCTTGCGGCCGTACTTGCACACTGGTCACCCCCTTGGTTGAGTTTGCTCGCGATTGTTGGTGTCCATGGTAAGAGCAAGAATGCGCTGTGCACGATGGCTGATGCTCATCCAACATTTGCGCGCGGATAAAACAAATTTCCCTCTATAACTTAATACACGTATTACATTTAAGAGTATTTATCAATCATTTCAGTATATCTGGCGCGTAGTTAAACCTGCGAAAGTTGTTCCTTCACTGGGTTGATGTTATATTAATATATACAAGTGTCCGACTCGAATTGGGTGTCCGACTCGTATTGCACTTGACGATAACCAAAAACGAATTTCAACTGCAGTTTTTTACAGAATGCAATAACTTGATCTGGAAATGGCAAGTTGGACTAAGTGGCTACAGTGGTACTTCGAATATGACCATGGATACCGATATGATTGGCTTATTTAGACCAATTCTAATTTGGCCCAAATGATCTCAAATATGATTGGATAGATTTGCAGAAACTTCGGTAGTATAGCCCACTTGAGAATATAGATAGTATTTTAATTCAAGTGCAATCAAAGCAATAGGAAATCTCAGCGGCATTTCAATACAAACCACAAGTCAGATAGACTTGAAATTTGGAGCTAATCTGTTTCATACTAATATGAAGTACTTCCCAACATTTCATCAAAATTGGAGCAATATGGATGAAGTTGCGAAAATTCGGGACCAAACGTACGGTACCAAAAGACTTGCTTCAGAATACTATTAATAGTAGTACTAAGGTAACGCATCGAAATCGCGAACACTTTTTGCGTCGTGTCAAGTCAAATTTTTGACGCAAGACATCTCTGAAAATCCGTGGAATTTCGCAAATCCAAAGGCATGGTAGGAAAATATAATTCGAGCACCATGTCACTGACGTTCTCCCTAGTAATATAGTTTGTCAATTATGCAAGATATTGCAACGAGCATACAAAAGTACCGATATCTTCCACTGACAGCATGCTTTGCGTGCTTCAATATGGCGAATCCCACGGCGCTATTCAGGTGCTGCACATAATGGTTACTTCGAAGTATTCATCAAATTAACGATGTTTACCACAAACACTACACGAGCGAGTTTGGCCTTCCATCACCAAGTCGGTTGTATATTCAACCAAGTGGGTCGAATGTTGGCCATATCGATTTCATTATGGCACGTGCAAGCTTGACTTAATTCGGCAAGTACGGTTCAATGAAGTCACGAGCATCGCTGATGCGTACATAGATACCTGGCGTGCCGGCCAGACCACACAATCAACGCCCGAGCTGACCACCCCCACCAAACGCATGGCACCGTTTTCTTCGATGGTCAACGGCCCCCCAGAGTCACCGAAACAAGAGTTTTCTCCTTCTGCCCCTGCAAACAACATCGTATCGGTCACGGTCACTGAAAAGAGGGACAACGCAGCCGAGGCCCTGAGGTTGGTCCATGCCGTGACGTTGACCACCTTGAGTACTGGCGATGGACAACGCAGCCGAGGCCCTGAGGTTGGTCCATGCCGTGACGTTGACCACCTTGAGCACTGGCGATGGGGGGCTATTATGCCTGACGTCTCCCCAGCCGCGAATCGAAGCTTTTTCGCCCCCCCAAACGAAGCGAAACTACACCGCCACAGGTTCAGTGATCGAGATGTCGCGGTCCAAGATTATGATGCCCACATCGGTGCCATCAGGGTGTTTGATTTTCTGGGTCACATTGGCCAGTTCCCCGTCGGCAGAACCGGATAAATAGTGCGTACCCACGACCACATAAGGTAGATGTTCGTCCAAACAATGAGCCGCTGTCAAAACAACATTGGGGGCGATCAGACTGCCGCCGCACTCGGTGTTACCATTGGGCGACGCCTTGAGTCCAGCCACATAACGGTGCTGGTGGGCTTTGGATTCCTGCTTTCCTGATTCCTGGCCCCCGACGATTTCGAAACCGTCGTATGGGGCCTCTTCGCCGCAAGCGACTTTGGCTGGGACAACTTGGTCTTGAGTCAAGGCAGCGACGGTCACGGGGAAAGCGAGAAGGAGTGCGAACTTCATGATGGAAATTGGAAAATGAATCGTTTCTCATCTAGAGCCAAGTCAATCCAATCGTTATCGTCAAACTGTGATTGCACTACCAAGTTCCAAGGTTAAACAAATGGATGGTTGGGATGCGTACAACATACATACATCCTGCTCTTGTCATGAACCCGCTAGGATGGACGAGTCATATTTGGCGTCATAAATATATGCAACAGCGTGATCGATATTCTTGTCAAAATGGGGACCGTTGACCATCGAAGAAAACGGTGCCGTGGGTTTATTGATCGAATGTTTTTTTCGAAAATTTCATTGGCTACTTCGTTCCGTGGATTACTGCGTCGATTTATCGAAAGAGATAGAACATCGTTTGAAATATATTGAACATCGTGTGAAATATGTCGGCCGTGGGGTGACATATACCGCAAAATAGTCGAAATATACTGCAACCATGTAGAGTCTGGACGAAAGATATTGAATGATTGGCGAACATACCTGGTAACACGCATGGCGTGAATCAGTTGTGCGTTGGACAAAATATACCGGAAATAACCTGAACTAAATCGAAAATCGGGAACAGCGCGTGTAACTTGAATTTTTGTATTGAGGAATAAAAATATGCACAATTTATGTTTATTTTATTGCTGTTCGCGATTTCGATGCGTTACCTTCCACCATTTTAGAAAATCACAACCCGTCATTCCGACTTTTATGACTGATCGCAATAATCCATTACAAACAACACATTCAGTTGTTTTATGATCTACTCTGGAAATAAATATATGGAAGTCTCTATATAATGGTGCATAGTTTTTTCATAAATTGCCCAAACTGGATGGATTCGATGTCAATAGACCAATCAAACCACGACGAATCCAACGCGACTATCCATTGGTCATTAAATACAAGAGGAAAAGAGTTAAGGTAATCCATCAATATCGCGAACGCCATCAATATCGCGAACGCTTGTCATTATATCCAATCCAATGGCTTCATTCTGTAATGAGGGGTTTTCATTTGATATGATTATATTCAGCCAAAGGATCAGGATACCACCTTGAAGTTCAAAATTATGTTCATTTTTATGTTGTCCAATACAAATTGCAACTTATATCTTATTATAATGCCTACAAATTTAATGTAGAATTGAGTTCATTTATAAATTAAATCGCGTCACGACACCCAGGTATATTATTTTGTAAATTAATATTCCAAACATACAAAACTAAGATATTACGACCGT